TGATCTAACCTTGCTAACCAGCCTACCATGAGGAACCTTGTCAAATGCCTTACTGAAGTCCATATAGATCACGTCCACTGCTCTGCCCTCATCAATCCTGTTCATTACTTGTTCAAGAAACTCAATCAGGTTAGTAAGACACTATTTCCCATGCACAAAATCATGTTGACTATCCCTAATCAGTCATTGCCTTTCCAAATACGTGTAAATCCTGTCGCTCAGGATTCCCTCCAACAACTCACCTAAATTGGATTTTTGGTATCACGTAATATTTACTCACAATAATGTATTTGCTGACTGATATTCGTATCTGTTTTTGTTTTGATAACTCACACCAATTTAGTTCGCAATCTTAAATCAACTGAGTATTGATTAATTGCTTCCTGAAATGTTACGTCTGAGTTTATAATTAAAGGCATCAGGTGAATTACTTTTTAGATACGACTAATATTAGTGAAACTGAAGATTAGGACTCAGCCACAGCTTTTTCTGAGTCTATTGTTTCTTCTCATCACGCAGAAATTTATCACAATACCTACTAAGTGGGGTTCCTACTTTGAGATGGTCGAGGACCAGATGGGGGCAGGGTTTCCAAAGATAGTTTATCTCATCCTGGTTCCCAGGATGAGAAACGTATGCACAGGAGTAGGCCATTCAGCCCCTTGAGCCTGCTCTGCCATGCTAGATCTTGGCTGATTGTCTACCTCAATCATTTTACCACTCTAACTGATATCCTTTGATGTGATTAGTGTCAATCTGTTTCAATGACTAAGATAGAGATTGGCAAGGAATCAGCACTCTGAATGAAGAAATTGCTCCTTAACTCAGTCCAGAATGGCCTGCTTGTTATTCTAAAGTTGTGCCCCTTGATCTAGACCTCCTAGCTCGGGGGAGCACCCTTCCTGCATCTATCCTGCCTAGCCATGTGAAAATGTTACAAGATCACTTGTTCTTCTAAACTCAAGAGCATAAAGGCCAGGTTCCGGTTTAAAGCCAGTTGAAAACCATATTAGTGTTTAACAGAGATGAACTTACATAACACCTTCCACAGCCCCAGGATGTACCAAAACAGTTGACGTCAGTGAATCCCTGCTTTGAAATGTAGGTCATTGTTGTTAATGTAGGAAAGGCAGTACCCAATTTGTGCACAGTAATCTTCCAGCAGGGAGATGGATAACCAGATAAACTTGTTTGAAGTTATAAAAGCAAAACAAAACTGCTGTCAGCATCCATGGAGGGAGAAACTGAGTTAATGGCCCACATATTTGCTGGGGGAGAGCCACTGGATAAATTTGACAAACGGTGTTCTGGGCAAATTAATGCTGGGACCTCATAAGAGATTTTTTTATTTGCACTTTTGCAAAGCAGCCAGCTAAACTGACTGCCTCGGGAGTACAAAAGACCTGAGACTGCAGCCATTAGTCAGGCAGGGAGACAAGCTTGAAGGTGGAGGGATCAGTCATAATTGCAGACTAAAGATCATTGCTGAGAATGGGAAGGGAATAGAGCTCATTGTGAACTGCAGACACAACTATTGGGGTTTCAGCAGGAGTTGGAGCTGCAGGATCAGCCAGTAGGGCTTGGGGGAGAAAACGGGGAGATGATTGAGGGTTGCAGAAACAGCTATCAGGGCCTGAGGTAAAGATTGGGGAGGAGTGATCATAGGTTGCAGAAACAGGTGTTGAGGTTTAGGGAGAAGGTTGGTATCGCCAGCTACAGAGATTGGAGAGGTTGATGATTGTGGTATGGGCTAGAGACTGGCTACAATCAGCTGGGGAGGTTGAAGACAGCCTTGTAGATAGCACTAACTCTTTGGGTTTCCTGAGCTGTTTGAAACCTAGTCAATTATTGTTCAATATAAATTGCAATTACATTGTGGTAGCCTGATTTCAAAATGTTATGGAGGAGCCTTGCCTCTCGAAGGCAAGACACATTGTGCTTCACTATCTGCCATCAAAGAATAATGGCAAACAGACAGGGATCATATTTCACAAATTTTAGGTTTTACCTCCTCAATCTATCCTTCTGTTCCCCCCTGTTGTGCAGGGGGTTATCTTTCCTTTAAATTATGTTTCCCCGCGCTGGTCAGTGTCCTGTGAATCAATGCTGTACCCCCTCTGTTGCCTCAACAATAATCCAACAGTGGAGTCTAAACTGCGCAGCTAGCTGGGAACTTACTAAGGATTCACAGTTTATCTCAAATTTATATTTCCTTCTAAGTTCCAAAGTTCCTACGACTTTCTCTTTCCTGTTTAGCACACTTGAGATGATGCTTTTGGCATGTGAAAGAGTATCATCACTGGTTGGTTATCAAGCCCTGATGACCTAGTTGTTTAATCAAGTGGGTGTGTGTGCATGTGATCCTCAGTCAGTGATTCCATCAGTTTCCACTGTTTAATGGTCTGTTCTGATACCACAGGAGTTTCCAAATGATTATGAGAACGGTGTGACTCCATTACCTCCCTGCTGCAGTTTAAAACTTAGCTGCCTCAGCAGTTTATGACACTCTCTCATTTCCATGGGCAATGGCTGTTATCATCATATAACAGAAAAGCACACAACATAATGAACTGAATGCTCACAACGGAAAGGAGCAGATGAGAAATTGAACAAGCTCATTTCTAAAGAAATAATCAAAGAAAAGGAGAAAATGTAAAGGAATGAGATGGAGACACGATCAGATGAAAAAGGGCAAGGATTAGAGATTTACAAGAAAATGAATAAGGGAACAGAGGCAAGATAAGAAGTGCCCAACATCAAGAGAGGGAGAGAATAAACAGGAAGAAAAGGAAGGGAGGTCACAAAACACCAGGAGAAGAGAATGCAACTCATTTTTTAAAAAATTGTTCACGGCATGTGGATACCACTAAATAGGCCAGCATATGTTGCCCATCCTGCTTCAGGAGGTGGTGGTGGTAAGCTGCCTTTTTGAACTGCAGCAGTCCATTTTGGGTAGGTAGACCCACAATGTTGTTAGTAAGGGAGTTCCAGGATTTTGACCCAGCGACAGTGAAGGAATGGTGACATAGTTCCATGTCAGGATGGTGAGTGGCTAGGAGGGGAACTTGCAGGTGTTGATGTTCCCATGTATCTACTGCCCTTGACGTTCTAGATGGGATAGGTCACAGATTTAGAAGGTGCTGTCAAAGGAGCCTTGATGAATTGTTGTAGATAGTGCACACTGCTGTTATTGTGCACGATGTTGGAGGGAGTAAATGTTTAAGTTTGGTGGAAGTATCAGTCAAGTGAGCTGTTTTGTTCTGCATAGTATCGAGTTTCTTGAGTGTTGTTGGGGCTCCGCTCATCCAGGCAAATGGAGAGTAATCCATCACCCTACTGACTTATGCCTTGCAGATGGTTGGCAGGCACAGGGGAGTCAGGAGTTGAATTATTTGCTGTAGGATTTCCAACCTCTAACCCATAATATTTACTAAACAATGTATTCACACAGAACAAAATAGACTTGCAGAAAGGGAAATCCATCAGGGAGAGTATCAGCAAGTTCACAGCAGCAGACAGCTCATCATTAATATCCTTTGACATCAGCCCTCTGTCTCACAATTCATGGGAGAATTTTGCGATTCTTAGCTGAGTTGACTTTTGACTCTTACTGCAGTTGATCAGCAGCTTTTAGAGAATGTTGATAGTGGGTGTGTTTGTGGGAGCTGTATTGGGAGTGTGCTGTTATGAGATTGTTGATCTGAGAATGGACATGGGGAGGTGATCTCAAGTGGTGTTTCGCGATGCTTATTGCCAGTTATTGAGCAATGGGGAAATGTCTTATCAGTGCATTGCTAAAAAGTTCAAAACAGGAAAGTTCACAGGATGGATCCCAAATCTGTGCAGAGCACTTTCATTGAAGCAAAAGAGTGCTAGTACTTATCCAGTGCTCAGCTATAGGAAGAGGGACAGTCAGGGATTTCCTGTTTATCAACTGTTCTTTCAGGATTGTCTGTGCAATTATGTAACACAGGACAAGATCCAGTTCATTCAAAACTCAGTCCAGTAGTTCAGTCTACTTTTAATATAAAAGCAAGATACTGTGGATGCTGGAGATCTGAAATAAAATGGAAATTGCTGGAGAAACTCTGCAGGTCTGGCAGCAGCTGTGGAGAGGGGAAAACAGTTAATATTTCAAGTCTCCAGTTCCTCTTCGGAACTTTTAAGCTCATTTGCTATAGAAACTGTTCGGGAGTAACAGACATTTCTCAAATACTGTTTTTGTCAACCTGGGCTTAGTGGTAGCATTCTCACCAAGGTCCAAGCTCCACACCAAAGACTCATGCACATAATCCAGCTGAAACTTTTAGTAATTGCTGAGGGAATGTTGCACTATTGAAGTTGCTGTATCTAGCTGAGAAATTAAGCTAAGGCCCTGTCTGCATTGTTGAATAGATGAAAGAGAAACAGCAGATGATTCCCTCCAGTATCATAGCCATCTCATTTATCCCTCAGCTAACACAATTGTTGGTCTGGTCGTTATCCAATTGCTGTTTTTGGGGTCATTCCGAGCATGATATGCAGCCAGGTTTCCTATCACAGGATGAGAATTCACTGACACTGAAGCTCTTTGAGATAACTTTAAGCTCTGAAAGTTGATATATAAATGCAAGTATGTTATCTTTTCCTCACATCAGGCATTGCCTCACTGTCCGTAACCCATTCTGTCTCGGGCATCACTCTGAGCATAACATTCTGTATGCCAGACCTCACCCTGTCCCATTACCCACGCTGTACCAGACCACAC